CGGGAGAATGAAAAGCGAAGAGGTAGAGCCAACAATGAAAAGAATTTGAAAACGATCTTGGAGAAAGGCACTTGACTGATGATGAATCATCCTAACGCCAAACATCGAAAAGAATTTAGGATAGCTCCGGGAAAATTAGAAGAGTCAGGTAAGATCCTAGGAAAAGACCTGTGGGTTAGGGCCCACTCAAAAGATACACCGTAGAACGATTTGAAGGAGAGATTGCACCGGTTGAATAAAAAGTCTTGAATGAGAGAACGTCCTCAAAGATATGTTTGAACGGATCTTGAATGAAAAGACGAGCCTTCAGAGATATCTTCAGCACTCCGGATCAATTGAATAGTGAGAAGTGGATGATTAAGAGGTGCACCGGCATGAGACAACATTTAAAATGAGGAAAGGAATATGATCAACAAAGCTTGAATTGAATCCAACGGAGAAGAAAATAATGACGAATGATGAACTTGAAGCTCCGTTAGGATCTTCAAGAGAATAACCGGATAAGAACATTCAAAGACAAAAATGAAGAGTCTTCACATGAATAAAATGGATACTTTATTAAGAAATCCAAGTCCTTGAAGAAAAAGGGTGGGTGGGTGGGAAAACAAAGGAAGCTTGGAACGAATGAAATAAACACCGTTGAGAAGAACTGATAATTGATCTTGCGGATGTTGACGTGATCGGATCCACTTGAAGAGAGACACACCGGTTGAAAAGGATTGACAAAACAATCTTGATGATTAAGAAGGATTGGTATTCACATCGGAGTATGAGGACACCGTTTAGAGAAGGTATGGAATCAACATTTGACTCCGAAGCAACTCGAATACCACAACTCAAAACAAAAACAAAGGATTGGCTTGCAAAATAAGCCAGAACAAACATATGATAGAGATTTCGTCCGAAGTTTTTGTGGTGGGGCCTACACGGGCTCAACCGTACAGCACCATCATGTACAAGGCAGTGCACATGACATACGAAGCGTCCCCGAGTTGGCATAGCCAAGGACTCTTTAAGACACAACGAGACCACTGTAAAACCAACCGTGGATAGGCGGACCACTAGACGTCGAACCCCAATTTCATATCATACATCTGTCGGAAAGATATCCTAAGAGCTACTTGAATTCCCACTTATAAACTCCCGAAATTTTCCGGTTATGCAATCAGGTGTTGGGGATATAGGGGAAGCATAATATCTCACCCAAAACTAGCAAATCCTACATCCAGCTGTATCCATCCTTCAACACATAACCAAGAAACCTTCGGAAATCATCTACCTCAACCTTCGAAAAGCATCCGTTATACGAGTTATGGCAATACTCCTGAACTCCCGCCCCAGTACTGGGTGGCGTCGAGGTTATCTCACCAACAACTGCATAAAAGAGATTTTCAATGTCGGGGAAACTAATCTCAGGTATTCCAGAACTGCAACGATAAAATTGTGACGACAACACCTTGGAGCTCAACTCCCCGGGACACTGCCACAACCCCTAAAGACAGGAGGCACCAAGAACAATGTTCTCGTCACAAATCGATCGGAACGATTCCAAGATACCCGCGTGATCCTAAAAAAAATTAGCGAAATTTGAGAAGAGAAGAGTCAAAACACTATGTCAGGATGCCTTACCAGAGCGATGAGGGGACTGGGGAGTAAAAAGAATTCCTAAACTCTCCGATATATAATTCCTAAAAGACTCAAAACATTTTTTTCTAGACTCAACAACGGCTGCTAAAAACGATCAAGCAGTGGGGGCTCCTAAGGTCGGGGAAGGCTCTGATACCAACTTGTTACGCCCTCGATGCGGCTATATCTCCCACGTGTCGAAGCATGACTTAGTGGCATAACCACATTTAAAGCAATGTCGCAAATGAGGTAATCTTCACACAACCCATGTAATATAATTAAAGGGGAAAGGATACATAGCTGGCTTACAATCGCCACTTCACACAAATACATGAATAAAGCATTACATCATCCAAATACAATCAAGGCCCGACTACGGAATCAAAATAAAAGAAGACTACCCCAAATGCTACATAGATCCCCGATCGTCCCGACTGGGCTCCACTACTGATCAACTGGAAACGGAAAACAACACAACGAACAAAGTCTTCATCGAGCTCCACCTTGAGCTTGGTTGCATCATCTGCACGGTTCAACGGCACCTGCAAGCTGGTTTGGAAGTATCTGTGAGTCACGGGGACTCAGCAATCTCACACCCTCGTGATCAAGACTATTTAAGCTTATGGGTAAGGTAAAAGGTATGAGGTGGAGCTGCAGCAAGCGACTAGCATATATGGTGGCTAACATACGCAAAAGAGAGCGAGAAGAGAAGGCAAAGCACGGTCGAGAATCTATGATCAAGAAGTGATCCTAGAACAACCTACGTCAAGCATAACTCCAACACTGTGTTCACTTCCCGGACTCTGCCAGAAAGAGACCATCACGGTTACACGCACGGTTGATGCATTTTAATTAAGGTCAACTTCAGGTTTTCTACAACCGGACATTAACAAATTCCCATCTGCCCATAACCGCGGGCACGGCTTTCGAAAATTCATAACCCTGCAGGGGAGTCCCAACTTAGCCCATGACAAGCTCTCACAGTCAACAAAGGATATACCTTCTCCCGAGACATTCCGATCAGACTCGGCATCCCGGTTCTACAAGACACTTCGATAAGTTAAAACAAATCCAGCAACACCGCCCGAATGTGGCGATAAATCGCGATAGGAGCTACACATATCTCGTTCTCAGGGCACAGTCAGATTGTCCAAGGTACGGGTAGGCCAGCCCAGAGTTGCCCCTGGTGGCCACCGGCAGCTGACAGGTTGGACCAACACTCAGAGGAGCACTGGCCCGGGGGGGTTAAAATAATGATGACCCTTGAGTCTGTAGAACCCAAGGGAAAGAAAAGGCTAGGTGGCGAATGGTAAAACCAATGTTGGGCATTGCTGGAAGAGTTTTACTCAAGGCGAACCGTCAAGGGGTTCCCATTATTACCCAACCGCGTAAGGAACGCAAAATCCGGGAACATAACACCGATATGACGGAAACTAGGGCGGCAAGAGTGGAACAAAACACCAGGCATAAGTCCAAGCCTTCCATCCTTTACCAAGTATATAGATGCATTAATTAAATAAGATATATTGTGTTATCCCAACAAGTAAACATGTTCCAACAAGGAACAACATCTCCATGTTCCAACAAGGAACAAACTTCAATCTTCACCTGCAACTAACAACGCTATAAGAGGGGCTGAGCAAAGCGGTAACATAGCCAAATAATGGTTTGCTAGGACAAGGTGGGTTAGAGGCTTGGTTCAATAATATGGGAGGCATGATAAGCAAGTGGTAGGTATCGCAACATAGGCATAGCAAAAGAGCGAGCAACCAGCAAGCAAAGATAGAAGTGATTTCGAGGGTATGGTCATCTTGCCGGAAATCCCGCAAGGAAAAAGAACGAGTCCATGAAGAAGACAAACGGACGTAGACGAACGGGTCCTCACAAACGCGACGTTATCGGAACCAACCCGAAGAAGCAACACCGGAAAGAAGCACACAACATAGTAAACAACTATCACACGATCATGGCATGATGCACACCAAGTATGATGCATGTCCGGTTTAAAGAGGCATGGCATGGCAAAATGCACAAGCAATCCTACAACTTAAGTGGAGCTCAATATGCAACGAGTTGCATATTGACGGAACACCACATCAATTATTTAGTTCACTCTCGGTTAGGTACTCAACAAATTTAAATGTTGTTAAACATGGCAAGAGGGTGAAGCAAAGTAAAACTACCTATCTAGTCAAATTTAAATGAGGCCGGAAGTAAGGAACAACAATTCCGGTAAAACCCCATGAGCATATTATAGATTTGGTACCGTTCTTCCCTAAGCCATATTTTAGAGTTGTTAAACATGCAAGATGATGCCACCATGTTAAACTAGGCAAAATTCTACCCCGTTTACATATAAAGTTTATTAAAACCCGAGTTACGGTTATTTAGTTATGAATTAAAGCATTTTAGCATGGCATAGGAGCAAACTAAAGCAAACATCATTTTAACCATTTTAAACATGGATGGAAATGGCATATAATTAACCTACACATAATTCTAAGCATTTTTCACATATAAAGGTTTTACATATGATGCATGGTCTGAGAGTTATTATATGCATGAAGTATAGGGTCCAATCTGTAAAACAGTAAATCTCTGGATAATTGGACAAATCACAGAACCAGGAAAAAAAACATATACGGGTCGAATCTGCTAGCCCAATAGCGGGGGAAAGGAAAAAAAACAACATGAGGCGCTGGGGCTTCTCACACATGGGCTTTGTCCCGGTGGGTGGAGGAGGAAGCTGGCAGGCTGGGCTTGGTGCGGCAGCGCTGGGCCTGCTGGATCTGGGAGCCTAGCTCGATCGGTCAATGGGCGAGGGGTCGGGCGAGCTGCTCTGCTCGTCCTGGAAGCAGAGGACGCCGGCGGCGGGAGCGATGACGGCGAACTTGGCGCGCGAAGAACTCAGGCGGGCGCAGGAGGTCTCCGGCGAGGTCAGCAGGGCGAGGACGACAGCGAGGAACTTGGCGCGGCTGCGGAGCCTCGGGCGACGGACGGGCGAGGAGGAGGTCGTCCATGGCGACGGGAACCTGCGGGGTTCTCTGTAGGCGCTCGGGCGATGAGGAGGTCAGGGCGCCGGCGGACGGTGTGGTGGGGCTTGCTCCGGTGAGAAAACGAGGTGGAAGCAGGGTCGGGCGACGCTCGGGACTGCTGCTACTTCGGTGGCCGGCGGCCATGGCTCCCTGCGAGGAACAACGGGATGGGGAGAGTGATTCAGAGAGAGAGAGAGTAGCGGGGAAGGAGGAGAAGGAGGGCATGGCCTGGTGACGCAGTCCGGTTGCCTGCTCCGGCGAGGAGCTGTAGGCGCGGGTGACGAGGAGGAGGCAGGAGCCTCGGGTGCTCTCGGACGAGGGCGGCGATGAGGCCAATCCATGGCGAAGCAGAGGTGCGGGGACGAGGAGGACAGCCTTGTGCGTTTCCTCGGGGCACGCGGGCCGAGCTCGGGATGGCCATGGCGCTGGAACTCCTGGAGGTGGTCATCGGCAGCGGCGCCGGTCGTCGAGGTGAGGTGGTGGAGCGGTGGATGGATGGATCGATGGAATTGGCTGGATTTGGATGACTGGTGTGAAATCGAGGAGGGGATGGATCTGGATCTGGGAAGATCCCGAGGTGGAAGGAGAGACCGGATGGAGTGGCGGCGCGGTGATGGAATGGATGGGACATCTCCCTTGATTTTAGGGTTTGGTCTGGTTATATAGCAGGTAGGTGGGTTAGACTTAGGGGTATATCGTCCCTCCGATCGCAATCGAACGATCGCAAATAAAATAGCTAGGAAGTCCAAATAAGAAAACGGTGACGTTTTGTAGACGTTTGGGGATGATCTGGACACAACGGTGGCGACAGCCCGGGTCGGGTCCGGGACAACTTCGGACGCGCACGTGAGGGGTTCGATGCACTGTGCAGAGAGGGTTTCAGACCGTGCGGTCGCATCGGACAACTCCGGAAGCGAAGAGGGGAAGGAGGATGGACTAGGTGGGCTGTGTAGACGGTCTCGAGCTGAGAGGAGAGAAGAGGGGGAGGCCCGGCGACTGTTTCCGGAGACCGAAAACGTCCGACGTTAGACCGGCTATACTGCCGCTATAGTTATCCGTTGGGGCGTCAAACGAACTCCAAATGCGATGAAACTTGACAGGCGGTCTATCTACACTATAATAAGACCACACGTCAACTCTCATCCCATTCCGAGAATATTTCCCGGCCACTTATAAAATACTATTTCAGACATGCCGCGGGCGCGTGCAAATGTGTCGGGCAGCACTCTGCGCCGGTGCGCCGGCCCAACCTTTGGGCCGGTCCAACCGTGGCCGTTAGATGCGCCCCCGCATAGCCGTCGAATTGCGCCCTTTTCCAGCGATTGTCATCCTAGCACGTTTTCAGATCTGAAAGAAAGCACCGCTGCAGGTCATGGCGGCCGCCCCCCGTCGCCACGTCGCGCAGCGCGCCGTCGCCCTCACTCGTTTGCCCTCACCATCGACGGTCGCCGCCATGATCGATGGCAACGCTCGCAGACAAAAAAAAAAGTTGTCAAAAAATATGCTTTGTGTTGCCGCCCCAATTGAATCAATTGAAACGCTTGGTTCCAGCAAATTAAAGATAAGGTTGTAGCAAAAAGGTCGATCATCCAGCAAAGAAAGAAGAACTAACTCCAATGAAAGCATTTTTGGGTGCTGGTTCCAGCAACAAAAAACGTGGTTGTAGCAAAAAATTGATGGTCTAGAGAAAACGAACTCTGGTGGAAGCATTTTTTTGCTGGTTCCAGCAAAATGATTCATCGGTTCCAGCAAACCTGGTTGTGGTTGCAGCACCCCCCGCCCCTCCACACAAACTCGTTGTGGTGACAGTGCAGCTCACCACGATTGCCCGTTCCAGCAAAAACAAGGTGCGGTTGCAGCTCCTGCCGTTTGCTCCAGCAAAGTAAAATGCCGGTGGTAGCAAAAAGATGCAAAGTTGAGGGATTCCAGCAAATCAAAAACCCGGTGGTAGCAAAAATTCACATTGGTTCCAGCAAAGTACAAAACGACGCTAGTTTCAGAAAAAACCAAAAACGCCGATGGAAGCAGAAATTTGTGCGGGTTCCAGCATCTGGCTGCCATGGTTGTAGCACTCGCCAGCATCCCGCGCGGGTCCAGCTTTTCTGGGCCACGGTTGCAGCTCCGCCTGGCCACGGTTCCAGCATCCCTCCAGGTCGGTTGTAGCATCCCGACGCCGCCGTCGTCACACTGGTGTATGTCCAGCCATGGCGCACTGCAGATAGCAGCTTCCGGTGAGGCCGGTTTCAGCTCCGGCCATGGCTGGTTGCAGCATCACAGATGCCGGTTGCAGACCGCGGCGAGCGCGTCAAGCAGATGCAGCCCCAGCTCCCCGCCGACAAAAAGCATCCACCGCCGCACAAACTCGCTTATCTCTGCAACTTTTGCAGCTCCCCCATGTCTCCCAGTGTGTCACACGACGCGGGAGCAGAGAGAGCGTCAGTGAGTGGTGGTTTTTGACGGGATTAATGGACGCGGTGCTCGCCGGCGGAAGCAAGGGAGTTGAGGAGAGAAAGCAGAGAGCGAGGCAAGGGGATGGGGATTTTCTCCGGCTAGCTTTGGCCTTGTTTCGAGAAGATAAGGCTCACTCGTGAGATAAGGATAGAAAGGATGCCACGAGGACGCGTGGGACCACGTGGAAAGCTAGCGTGCAGGAGGAACGACTGGGTGAAAAGGTATCGTACGTGGCACGCGTGACCGGCCCAAGCTTCGGCCGGTCCGCCGGCCACAAACGTTTACCAAATGTGTCTGGGCTCAGAACGGACAACGGAGAGAACTCGGAGAATCCGAACGAATGCAAGTTTTGAAAACATGATGATGCAATGTACATGATGACATGACAAGATGCAACACGCAAGCGAAAGACATGGCAACGATGGCAAATAGCTGGAAGACACCTAGCACATCGGTCTCGGGGCGTCACACAATTGATGGAAGAAGGCTGCAACAGGTCCATCCTTGCAACCACACAAGGAAGATGGCCGAATGACAGATCGTTCATTAGGATTTAGGGGCCATGGAACATACTGTAATTAGCAAACAGTACAACGTTGTGTGAGTGTGACGCGGTTAGCTGAATAAGATGACCTGGGAAAGTGTCATTGCCACCATCCTTTTTTTAGGAGGGGTTGCCACCATTCTGTAGCGTTTGTGGCACGTCTATATTTTTTTTCTGAGAAAGAACAGTATGCGTTGTCCAGATACTTTTTACTCTTAAATGTGGCATAATACTGCAAATGGAAGCTATTAGTGTGAGAGGCAAATGTGTGTACTAGATCGGATCCAGTGTCCTGAACATACACCGAGCCAGACATGCAGGCCTGAACCAATCACTTACATTTCTAACTGTTACATTTAGCTCTTAATTACTACCACAGATGTTTTATGTTCCCTTGGCTTTGCGAAGCAACCGGACTAACTAGCATCAAAGCAACTGAACCTTTTCGTGGTGCTTTTAAGCAGCTTAGTTAACAAACCTCCACCTAACCTGCATTTTTCGACACTTGCGGTGCTGCACAGAGCTAGTGCGCGCGGCATTGTTATGCTAGTTGGAGTTGCTTTCAGCGCGACTAAAACCGGCCAGTATATATTATCCCCTTTCAGTTTTGCATCGAGTGGCGTAGTGGTGCAGTGCGTGGACCATTTCTGCTCATCATCTTGTCTTCCATGAACGCTATGTGCTTCTGACAAGAAGGCACATATATGAATTCAGCCAATATGCGTTGCACGCCTGTACCGCACTAGCTAGCCACGTCTAAACTTGTGCTCAGCTCACCATCATCACCATCCCAGCAACACTGCCTCACTCTCTCAATCGAGAGCCTATAAATACCACCCATCTCACCACAAACGCTCACATCCATCTGAAGCCATACTTGCAGAAGCCACTAGCTCACTACTAGTCGATCAATCTGTTGTTTCAGAAAGACGCCATGAAGTACTTGGGGCAGGTGGTGGTGGCGCTCCTGGCCTTCTCGGCGGTGGTGCTGATGGTGGCGCCGGCGGGCGCGGAGGCGGCGACCTGCAACGCGCTGCAGCTGACCCCGTGCGCGGGGGCCATCATCGGGAGCGCGGCGCCCACGGCGTCGTGCTGCAGCAAGATGAAGGAGCAGCAGCCGTGCATGTGCCAGTACGCGCGCGACCCCAACCTGAAGCAGTACGTCGACTCCCCCAACGGCAAGAAGGTCATGGCCGCCTGCAAGGTGCCCGTGCCATCATGCTAGATCGACGCATATATGATCGATCCACACGAGAGAGCCCAGCGCGCACGCGCTCCTCTCTGGCCTCTCGCTGCATGTTTCATGTGTGTTGATGTGTCAGTGTTTGCTTGTTTCCCAACACTGTCTAGCTACCCTGACGATGTACGTGGACCGATGTGTATCTGAATTTACGCAATAATGACGATGTTTCCAGCTATATGCAATTTGCATGTTCTTCCTCGCGTGCATATTTTCATGTGGCCTTCGTGGTAGTCATCAATAAACTACTCCCTCCATTCCGAGAATGGACGTTTGGCTCTCGGCCTCCATGGAGGCCTTTTTTTAAAATAAAAATAAAGATTCAAAATTTTCGGTCTTAAAAAAATATGAAAATTTTGTGGAAGTAAACAAGGATGTTATGTGTATGTGTGTAAAATTTTAGGATCAAAACGTTGAAATGCGGCCTGTACAAAAAAAAAGATAAATTCATGACCTAGGAGGATCACTACCAGAAAAACTGGGGTTGCCGACGGCCAAATCTATGCCGACGGCCCCCGTCGGCATCTATGGACCTATGCCGACGGCCAAGGATAGGCCGTAGGCGTAGAAAAGCCATCGGCATACATCCATCTATGCCGACGGGACCGCCCGAGGTACGCCTACGGGGCCCGTCGGCATAGGATCAGCCGTCGGCATATCCCGGGCCCACCTGCCCGGTCAGCGCTGACCATTTGACGGTGTTGATCCTACGCCGACGGGAGGTAACGGCGGCCGTCGGCATATCTGTGGCAGAGGTATGCCTACGGCATAGCCGTCGGCATAGGCCCCTCTACCACGTCATCGATCCGTCTGCCACGCCACGTCATCGATCCGTGGGACAACCTCCGTGTGTGCACAGATATGCCGACGGCCTTGCCGTCGGCATACGTTTATTTTACTTAATTTTTTATTTTTACTTTGGTTATCTATGGCAGAGGTATGCCTACAGCACAGCCGTCGGCATAGGCCCCTTTGCCACGTCATCGATCCGTGTGCCACGCCACGTCATCGATCCGTGGGACAACCTCCGTGTGTGCACAGATATGCCGACGGCCTTGCCGTCGGCATACGTGTATTTTACTTTACTTTTTTATTTTTACTTTGTTTTGTTATTTTTATTTTATTTTAGTTTTTGTTTTTGCATAAGATAATTATGCCTTATCTAAAAAAACATACCCGATGGTATATCGATTGCCCCCCGTTAAGAGCGTCGCTATCGCCGTGTCACGGAGGGGGGAAACGATCGACACGGAAGGAATTCTGGTTGGTGGGGGGTGTAGCTATGTCACCGAAATATCGCACGGGTCCCGATGCATATGTGAAAGTGTTCATGCATGCGTACACGCCCGTCTTGGGCTCCGGGGTTTGGCCACAGTGTCCGGGGTGTGCCCCCCCTCACGGACGGCGCTGCCGCCGGCACCTGAAGGGGGAAACGGACGCGTGGGGTCTACACGGAGGGGATCTTGTTGTGGGTCTGGCCCGGATGTTGCTCCAAAGTGTTCCTATGGGCTGACCTAACACAACCGGGTGGGGAGGTCCACTGGTCAAAGCCCGTCCGTGCAAAGTCAAAGGGCTAGATCCCGTGGTCAAACGCTACAGGATTAGGCGGGACGGGGGCATTGGGGGTAGCAATGCCACCGCAGCGTCGCACCGGGCCCTCATACATGCGGGGTGGTGTGGTGGCATGTCCGAAGAGGCGGGACGCGTCTCCGGGGCGTGGCCCCCCTCATGGACGGCGATGACACGGTAGTAGACGTTCTACGTTAACGATGCGGCGTCAATATTACTAAATACTCGGAGCGCGATAAAATCATGAGTTTTTTTGCACGACGTGGGCACATGTGCTATAGGAATGATGGTATTTTTTCATAATTTTTGGTGATGGAGAAGTATCCGAAAAATTCCCTCTATGTGGATTGCCCTTCGCGCGTCTATGGCTGTGGCCGGCGGCCTCCGGGGGCTAGCATGCCGCCAAATCTTGCATAGGCGGCCTCTCACAAGTTTGGAAGTGTTGTGGCGGTTGCAAACGCCCGGCACGCGTGTCCGGGGTGTGCCCCCCTCACGGACGGCGCCGCCGCCGGCACCTGGAGGGGGGAAACGGACGCGTGGGGTCTACACGGAGGGGATCTTGCTGTGGGCCTGGCCCGGATGTTGCTCCAAAGTGTTCCTATGGGCTGAGCTAACACAACCGGGTGGGGAGGTCCACTGGTCAAAGCCCGTCCGTGCAAAGTCAAAGGGCTAGATCCCGTGGTCAAACGCTACAGGGTTAGGCGGGACGGGGGCACTGGGGGGGTTGCAATGCCACCGGAGCATCGCATCGGGCCCTCATACATGCGGGATGGTGCGGTGGCATGTCCGAAGAGGCGGGACGCGTCTCCGGGGAGTCCCCCCCCCCCTCACGGATGGCGATGACACGGTAGTACACGTTGTGCGGTAACGATGCGGCGTCAATATTACTAAATACTCGGAGCACGATAAAATCATGAGTTTTTTTGCACGACGTGGGCACATGTGTTATAGGAACGATGGTATTTTTTCATGATTTTTGGTGATGGAGAAGTATCCGAAAAATTCCCTCTACGCGGATTGCCCTTCGCGGGTGTACGGCTGTGGCCGGCGGCCTCCGGAGGCTAGCATGCCGCCAAATCTTGCGTAGGTGGCCTCTCACAAGTTTGGAAGTGTTGTGGCGGTTGCAAACGCCCGGCACGCGTGTCCGGGGTGTGCCCCCCTCACGGACGGCGCCGCCGCCGGCACCTGGAGGGGGGAAACGGACGCGTGGGGTCTACACGGAGGGGATCTTGCTGTGGGTCTGGCCCGGATGTTGCTCCAAAGTGTTCCTATGGGCTGACTAACACAACCCGGTGGGGAGGTCCACTGGTCAAAGCCCGTCCGTGCAAAGTCAAAGGGCTAGATCCCATGGTCAAATGCTATAGGGTTAGGCGGGACGGGGGCACTGGGGGATAGCAATGCCACCGGAGCATCGCACCGGGCCCTCATACATGCGGGGTGGTGTGGTGGCATGTCCAAAGAGGCGGGACGCGTCTCCGGGGCGTGCCCCCCCCCCTCACGGACGGCGATGACACGGTAGTAGACATTTTGGGGTAACGATGCGGCGCCAATATTACTAAATACTCGGAGCGCGATAAAATCATGAGTTTTTTTGCACGACGTGGGAACATGTGCTATAGGAACGATGGTATTTTTTCATAATTTTTGGTGATGGAGAAGTATCCGAAAAATTCCCTCTACGCGGATTGCCCTTCGCGCGTCTACGGCTGTGGCCGGCGGCCTCCGGGGGCTAGCATGCCGCCAAATCTTGCGTAGGGGGCCTCTCACAAGTCTGGAAGTGTTGTGGCGGTTGCAAACGCCCGGCACACGTGTCCGGGGTGTGCCCCCCTCACGGACGGCGCCGCCGCCGACACCTAGAGGGGGTAAACGGACGCGTGGGGTCTACACAGTGGGGATCTTACTGTGGGCCTGGCATGGATGTTGCTCCAAAGTGTTCATATGGGCTGAGCTAACACAACCGGGTGGGGAGGTCCACTGGTCAAAGCCCGTCCGTGCAAAGTCAAAGGGCTAGATCCCGTGGTCAAACGCTACAGGGTTAGGCGGGACGGGGGCACTGGGGGGGTAGCAATGCCACTGGAGCGTCGCACCGGGCCCTCATACATGCGGGGTGGTGTGGTGGCATGTCCGAAGAGGCGGGACGCGTCTCCGGGGCGTGGCGCCCCCTCACGGACGGCGATGACACGGTAGTAGACGTTTTGCGGTAACGATGCGGCGTCAATATTACTAAATACTCGGAGCGCGATAAAATCATGAGTTTTTTTGCACGACGTGGGCACATGTGCTATAGGAACGATGGTATTTTTTTTCATAATTTTTGGTGATGGAGAAGTATCCAAAAAATTCCCTCTACGCGGATTGCCCTTCGCGCGTCTACGACTGTGGTCGGCGGCTTCCGCGGGCTAGCATGCCACCAAATCTTGCGTAGGCGGCCTCTCACAAGTCTCGAAGTGTTGTGGTGGTTGCAAACGACCGACACGCGTGTCCGGGGTGTGCCCCCCTCACGGACGGCGCCGCCGCCGGCACCTGGAGGGGGGAAACGAATGCGTGGGGTCTACACGGAGGGGATCTCGCTGTGGGTCCGGCCCGGATGTTGCTCCAAAGTGTTCCTATGGGCTGAGCTAACACAACTGGGTGGGGAGGTCCACTGGTCAAAGCCCGTCCGTGAAAAGTCAAAGGGCTAGATCCCGTGGTCAAACACTACAGGGTTAGGTGGGACGGGGGCACTGGGAGGTAGCAATGCCACCGGAGCGTCGCACCGGGCCCTCATACATGCGGGGTGGTGTGGTGGCATGTCCGGAGAGGCGGGACGCGTCTCCGGGGCGTGCCCCCCCCTCACGAACGGCGATGACACGGTAGTAGACGTTCTGCGGTAACGCTGCGGCGTCAATATTAATAAATACTCGGAGCACGATAAAATCATGAGTTTTTTTGCACGACGTGGGCACATGTGCTATAGGAACGATGGTATTTTTTCATAATTTTTGGTGATGGAGAAGTATCCGAAAAATTCCCTCTACGCGGATTGCCCTTCGCGCGTCTACGGCTGTGGTCGGCGGCTTCCGGGGGCTAGCATGCCGCCAAATCTTGCGTAGGCGGCCACTCACAAGTCTCGAAGTGTTGTGGTGGTTGCAAACGACCGGCACGCGTGTCCGGGGTGTGCCCCCCTCGCGGACGGCGCCGCCGCCGGCACCTGGAGGGGGGAAACGAATGCGTGGGGTCTACACGGAGGGGATCTTGCTGTGGGTCCAGCCCGGATGTTGCTCCAAAGTGTTCCTATGGGCTGAGCTAACACAACCGGGTGGGGAGGTCCACTGGTCAAAGCCCGTCCGTGAAAAGTCAAAGGGCTAGATTCCGTGGTCAAACACTACAGGGTTAGGTGGGACGGGGGCACTGGG